TTTAGACGCTCAAGCAAATATTCCTGACAGGAAAGAGTTGAAATGGTATGGTGACTTATGAATGGAGAATTACTGAGTGTGAACTTTTATGCCCTCACTTGACACGATGAGTTAAGACCAGACCCTCCAAACCCAGGCCAAGACTAGACCCCTTGAGACCCAAACGCACATCAGAAATCAATAAACCATACATGTCCAATTGTTTTCCAAAGACAGAAATCTTTTTCTTTTTGTCCTTTTTTTTATTTTACACCAAAAACATGTTTTCCTAACGAACATAAATGAAAGCAAAATGCTATCATACAAGTTTCAGACATGTTTTTCCATTCTGTTTCACAAGGGTTTTTTTACTTCTTTGAACTAACAAATAAAGTACCACAGTACTTTTTGAATTTACTCTATAATAGTATCAAAGTTACTTTAAAAAGTGCACGTCGTTTCTATTTCGTCAGTGTATTTAAAAACTAAATTAAAAACCTCACCCTTTTTTCCATAACATAACCCTACAGAGAGCATGTGATGTACGAAACTTCAAAATATACTGGTACTGACCCGCCACGGAAGCAGCCCAGAAGACATGATCTCATAATGTAACATTCAAGATTGTGATGATTCACAGTTTCCCAAGATTGTGATTCCTGTGTAAATAGATGTATGCCACCATTAGATTCCTGTTCCCCATTAAAACATGAAAAGTCTGCGTATATGCCACTTCAGAAGCATCTTCGGTCCCACTTTATATTAGGTGGCCTTAACTACTATGTACTTACATCAAAAAAATAAGTACAATGTGCTTGTGTTCAGTTGTGTTCATATTGTATTTTAAAACACTTTTGCTGCTATTCAGGTGGGATACAGGTAAGGTTAGGGACAGGTTTGGTAGGTTTAATGGTGGGTTAAGGTGTTAGAGATGGGCCAACATTGTAATTATACATGCAGGTATTTTTAAAATACAAGTACAATGTAAAAGCATGTATGCACACAATAAGTGCATTGTATCAAATTATTAATTTAAATTTATAAAACAGATAGTTCCGGTCCTTGATTCTGATTGGCTGAGCCGCGTTCGAAGCTACATTGTTTGGTGGAAGAATACTGTGTTTATTAATATCATTACACTTTATTTGCTCTGCTTTATTCTGTGAAACCGTACTACATATATGGAATAACCGTATTATAAAAGCAATAAGCCCCGTGAAGCCATGGTTTACAGTGAATTTATAACAGCTAAGAGAGGTTTTAGACTCCGCTTCACCTCGTACCTAACAAAGCCCCTCAGCTTTTATAAATTCACTGTAAACCACGGCTTCTTGGGGCTTATTGCTTTAGTAAGTACATAGTAGTTAAGCCCACCTAATATAAATATCTTCTGTGCCATCTTGCAGCACAATGCATTCTTATCTGAAACCATAAACTGAAACCCACAGCAAAGGCAGGTTTTTTTGTCTTATTACCAGTGCAATGAGAGCAAGACTGCAGCTCGTCATTCGTTTGGAATAAGACGTGTCCAGTCAAAAATGGTTAAAGAACAACTGATGGTGGAAGTCTGTAGAGAAATCAATTAGTACTTTTGTAACTATGGAATCTTTATATGCATGGACTTCTCAGTAAAAACAAACAACAGCTTTTGTCAGTTAGCAAGAATCTTTACCCCAGTGAGAATTAGGACTCAAACCTGTTCCCCTTTGCAGATCTCACAGCTTGGAGATGTAATATAGCTGTATGCCTTTGTTTGTTTGCCGTTAGCTGTGGGTTAACCAGGAAAATACAGCCACAGAATCGGCTGAGGGTGCCGGCGAGGTACAGAACGGACACAGCGACCCCAGCAACGGCTGTCTGTGCATCGGCCAAGCGCTGCAGAACCGAGACCAGATGAGGGCCAACGTCATCAACGAGATCATGAGCACTGAGCGCCACTACATCAAGCACCTGAAGGACATCTGTGAGGTACCATGGAGCGATCACAGGGACAGTTCAGCCCAAAATTCATGTCATTGTGTCGTTCCAAACCCATAGGACGTGCGTCTTCAGTACACAAATGA